AATATAATAATCATTAATTAATAAATTTTAAAGGCAATTAACCATTAAAGTTATGATTAAGGGTACCAAGTACTGTAATTGGGCATTGTAATATATGTATGATATATGGACATTGCTTGGTTATGTTGAAGCTTTATTTGTTAAAATCCCAAGCCTTTTTCTATTTCTTGACCTGTAAATGCCAGTTTGCAGCTTTACCAAGCTTAAGCTTCTCTTGTTGCAGGAGGATAGTTGGGGTAGCTCATGTTGAGGACTTCGAGTCGATCACTGATGCTGAAAGAAGAGCGTATTGTGAACACCGTGCTTTAGAATTCGCTAAAATGATTCTAAAAGAAAGGCAGCGCTACGATACTATCGAGCAAATCACATCTGCACTTCAGAATATCCCTTCGTAATGGCCTTATGGAGCTCGTAAAATTTATCGCTTGTCGGACGAGTTAATTAGAAGAAAAGAATGCTCTCTCTTACCTATATGCTCCTGTACAAAATGCAGTACCAGAACTGCCAGGTTTGAATAATTTTCGCTTCTCGTCTTCTTTAAAAAATGTAAATGAGATTTCATGACGACTGCTGGAGTTTTTTTTATAAGTATAATGGTATAATTTGCCATCATATCCTTACCAAAATCATCAGTGAGATTTTTTTTTTGTGTGAATGTGAAGATATATTTGATATGATCTACACTTCTAAGAGTTTCGGTCATACTTGTATTTGCTGATCTCATGAGAGAAAGGGTGGAAAGTTAAAATTCATTAGTAAGGTTTAGATTTTTTTTTTTCCTTTCATATATATTTTATTTTTTATTTTTCTTAAGTTAGGTATTATGGTTGGCAAGGGTTTAAGAGACAATGTTGATAGTCCCAATAGTCTTGATTGAACTTAATTCAAATCCTTATATGGGTTTTCTCTGTCTAGTTAGGTATTATTATACAATTAGGGAGTTAAGATAAAAATATAAATGGTAGTGTAGCCCAATAAAATAGTTATCATTTTGATAGGGGCTTTATGTTTTGGTGTCATTCTCTATTATGCATCTTTTTTAGTTGAAGGCATGGATGAATTGTTCTATGCGGACACCGGACGGAAGAATCATCTGGTTTTGTCTTTGTGAACAGTAAAAGCGCAGCTCCCTGTATTGTGTTTTTATTGTTCACAGAGACAAAACTAGATTGTTCTTCCCGTACGGTGTTCGTATAGAATAATTTCTCAAAGGCAAGGGTTTGTAAAGAAGACACTCTTATAAATGTACTCATCAATGGGGTGAGGAGGCCTAAAGTATAAAATGATTTGTATAGGGGTAAATCTTTTATTGATAGACCCCATTAGTGTTAATTCTCGATAATTAAAACCACTACCATCAAGGCTAAATGACCCTTGAGTATTTTTGTGTTGGAATTTAAGGGCATGTTCTTGAAAGTAAACTCCTCTAGTTATGAAATTTATAATGCCCATTATTAAGGATTGGGAACCTCTAAATCAGAGGCAAAGTCTATTCAAGTTCATGAACTTCTTGGGCCACTAGATAGTTCTTTTCAATTCATGTTCTTTAGGCATATTAAACTAGAAAGTTATGGAACTTTAGTTCATCCATTAAGCATAATAAGTGGTATATTTTGCATGGCCATCTTTTTTGCTTGTTTTCAAGGAAGATTATCTCCAACTCAACCAAAGTTTGACCATATTTATCCCACATGGCCTTAGTAAATTGGTAATTCTTTACTTTTGTAGCTCAACTAGCTAAGGCCTTGCAAACCAATAACTCTCATTTCTCAACTATCAAATCTTTTTGATAGGCTAAGAGCATAAATATTAAAGGTCTCAAATTCAAAAACTAAAGGCCTAGGAGGATATTTTAAAAATCATATCCACCATCGAGGAGTTAAAGCCTTCAAATATCTTGTTTGATTTGAAGTGAATCCATCTATAAGTTTAAATAGAGTTATAAGTAGAGGTGTCAAAATGATTTTTTGGGTCGAATTTGGGTTTAACTCGGAATTGACCCAATTTTAACTCACCTGACCCGGACATGACCTGATTAGTTAAACAGCTCAAAAGCCTGGACCCAAACCCGATCTAGAATTGACCCAGTTTTAACCCGACCTAGAATTGACCCAGTTTTAACCCAACCTAACATGATCCAACCCAACCCATTGACCCCGTTGAGTTCAATGGGCGACCAAGCGCTAGTGGTCGAGTGAGCGAGCAAGCAAGTGCAATCGTGTGAGTAGGCAAGGGCTAGCACAAATCTGACCTAAAATTACAATTGAGCCAAAATACAAAAAATGACCTGTTTTTTAAAGTGGTTTTCCCGGATCCGAAATTTTTAGGTCGAATTTTCAGGCCCTGTCAAATACCAACACCCTTAGTTCTTACTTCTTAGCCCCCTTCATTTGTAATATATAATAATCATAGTGATCATAAAAATAATAAATCTTCACTTATTGATGTTGGTCTTGCAATGATTCAAAAGAGAATTATGGGGTTCTAAACCATATAATAATGCTTCGAGAGCTCAATTCATTGCACTTGGGAGCTTGAATCTTATTATACAGCTATTATGGGGAGGAGGAAACGAAGGGAATATTAGTAAGAAAATAAAGCGAATATTGCTCAATTCCTCCATAATTAATCTCAATTTTTCTTATTGTCCTATATCAATTACGAAGAGTTCACGAAATCGCCTGTAAGTTGACCTTATCAAGTATTTATTTGTTTCACCATATAGTATCATCATGCATCGCCCTTATGAAGGGTTAGTGAGAAGTATATGAGATTTTTAAATTTGTACCATGCTTGCACAAATATTAAGGATGTAGGCTACTCTAAATTTCATATTAATGATCTTTCACTATTATTTTATCACTTCCAAACCATATGCCAAAACTAGGAAAAATTATTTTGTGCGGACACCGGATGACATTCGAAGACCAACCAGAATGCGTCACATCACTATTTTGCTTGACACCGATGCAGTACCATTCGGTTTTAGATGACATGGTGAATTCTAATTGGTCTCCTGATCGTACAGAATAGTCTTTCCAAAACTCAAGCTTTGTTTGGAAAGCTTTCTTAGTGTTTTTTTTTATTATTATTTTTTAGTAAAAAAAAATCAACAAAAAAACTTGTACTAAAAAATTGCTTTCAAAAATAATAAAAAGATTATCTCAAATTAAAAAAAAAAAAAAAAAGATTGTCCAAAACAAAGCCTAAAATATTTTGCACTATTAACTTCAAGGCCTGTTAATGCAAATTTCATCAATAAAATTCAGGCATCTTTATTTGATGGTTTTCCATTAATGGAGCTAAGCTCATAAAAATAAAATTTAAAAGATTTTTCTCCCTTTTGTATGGTTTTAAGATCAAATCTTATGCTTAATTTATGGTAACATTGATACAAAGCCAATCCTAACAAAACATGGTCCAATTATAATACAACTCATAGTGATCAACTCTAAGGGATAACTCACATCTTATCAAGCACCAAATTTTTTGGGTCATCTTCCATTCTATCAAGCCAATAAATTATTTTCAATTTATCAAAAATTTATTCAGAAGGATAAATTTATTCTTTCAATATTTATAAATACAGAGTTTTTTCTATATCAACAAATAAACAATAAATTTAAAAAAAATCATATTTTCATTTATATACCTGAACTATATAATAAAAGAAAACTTTTAATAATTTTAGTGCAATCTCTCTCAATAAAATATATACATTTGTATGATTGTCAAAAATAAAAATCTACTACAAAAGGCTACCTCAGATGAGAATTTTAACATAAATTAGAAACCTCCAATCAACTTGAGCTACCCTTCCCTGAAAATAACAGATGCAGATAAATTTGAAGTTAACAAATAATTTAATAACCAAATAAAATATAAGAATTCACATTATATCAACAAAACTATAATTTGAAAAAGGGCAATATAAGCCTATCTTAAGTTAGGCAATTTTCTCAATTAGCTTGATGAATCCAATGTTTATATCAACAAAACTTTAAGTCACCCACATAACACTTAATAATCCAATGTTCTAGATTATAATATTTTTTGTCAATCATGTGATGCTTTCAATCTATTTTTGATCAATTTGATCTTCTTAATGATATCATTCACTAACTCAGAATCTATTAAGCTTCGTTTGGGACGGCTTTCTTACTGCTTCTTAAAGCGGCTTTATAATATAAATATTAAAATTTTTGTACTAAAAAGTTGCTTCAAGAAGCAGTAAGAAAACCGTCCCAAACGAAGCCTTAATCTCCTCTAACCCACCTTTGTGTAAAATAAATGTGTCATGCACCTCTTACCTGGTAATGCCTCATATGGCATCATACTCAATTAAAAGTTGTAGTAAAAGGAAAAATCAATCAAAGGTATACAATCCTCCCAGCTCCCTCCAAAATCAAGTACAAATAATTTTAATGATTTTCAATGATCATCTACTTGAGGATAAAAAGCTATATTGAAATTCAAACTAATCCCCAAACCATCCTAAATAGCTCTATATAATTTAAAAGTGAATATACCATCACAATTAAAAATAATAATTTTTGGTATTACAACTTGTCTAACAATTTCATGCCCATATAGTTGTGCTAATAGCTCAATTGGATTTGTCTACTCTATAGAAAGAAAATGTGCCGACTTCATCAACAAATCAACCATAACACATAATGCATTATAACTATACCTAAACGTTAAAAATCCCATTGAAAAATTCTTTTTGACATATTACTACTTTCACTTGGGAATGGGCAAAGGCTATAATAAACCACTAGATTTTTGATAAGCTACCACACCGGTGGATTTCTTACTCAACATCATCAGCTATCAACTTGGCATCTCCATGCTGATGTAAAATGACGAGGTAAAAATAAAATATACTTCAAACTTTGATGATATGTATTAAACCTCATATCTGACACGATATAAATAATGCCTTTAGATTTTTAATATAATATAATATTAGTAAACTCTAATTATGAGTTAGATAGTTCTTATGTAGTAGCTTCAATTGTCTAGAAGAATATGCAATAACTCTCCCATGTTCGTGCAATAAATAACAAACAACTCAATACCCTTAAAAAAACATTATTCAGCACCTTAAAACTCTCAACACCAAACAAAATAGTTAGAACCAATGCTGACACTAAGCACCGGCGGTAAATACTCTTCTTCCCACAAATATCCACCTCACATGTATCCGCACAGGAGGCAAGGTATCAAGTCAAGGTAAACCAGCTAGCAAGGGGACCGAAAAGCCAGCACGAGAGACAAAGGGGCACATCACGGGAAACCAACCAACAAGGGGAAAATCAAGAAGACAAAGGGAGGAGAAAAGACACAAATTATAACTCATTTTAATGAGCTAAATAAGAAGAATACCTTTTCACATTAATGAGCTAAACATCAACTCAAGAATTAATGAGCTAGACTTAAGTAGAACCCAATTTTTAAGCTCAAAACCAAGCAGCCAAAGCCCAATCCGAGAACAGCCATGGTCCAAACCAAGAGGCAAAAAACAGCCCAAAGCTTGCCTACATCAATTCTCCTCCAGTTGAAAGAACTCATCTCCTGATGAAGCTTGAGTTTGTTATGAACTTGTCCTGGGGCTTCCGAAGATTGATTGCATGGACTATGACTCATGACTCAAAAACAAAACTTACATGACACCAAGACACACACGACAAACCGGGATATACTAACCTGGCTCTGATACCAAATTGATGCAAAGCTACAAAATACTAATTTTCCCAGATAATAGAAACTTACATGAACTCACAAAAACTAGACAAATTAAACAAAAAAAATAAACTTTTTATAAGATGAAATACTATTACAAACTTGGACACAAACACCTTACAAACTTTGACAACATAAGCACAAATAAAAGACACCTAAAGGAGCTTTCCAATCGTTGAGAAGAATGATACATGTGGGGTGGATACTTGCGGGAAGAAGAATGAGATTAGAAGCCAAGACGAAGGATAGGAGTAACTCGCAAGTTATCCCAAGATAGAGAAGAATAAGAAGTGGACAGAGCTCTGAAGCTTTTCCAAAAACCCTCAGGTTTACATCTCCAAAAATAACATGATAACCTTCCTTAACCAACCTTTTTATGCCTCAAAAC